AAAAGAAAGCGTTAACAATAGTGCAATAAAACCAGCCACGCACAAATATTGGGTCCCTCCTCCTGAACATTTCTTCTTTCCCATCCAGCAGATGCTTTTCAAGAGACTTCAGGTGCACCAACGAAATTTTGTCCTGACCACAACGAAGGACCCAATCAAAGGGATCAGCCACGCAAGTGCTGGGCTGGGTGAAACGTGGATCGACATTGATCACCTGGTCAGCATCATTTTCGCTGTCAGAACTGTTCTCAATAAGGGTGCCTTTTTCTTAGCAGCAAGCACAGCTCGATCAACTTTGCGTTTTTTCTTTTGAGGTCTCTTAAAAGAAGAAACCTGAGATATTTGAGTTTTCAATTTGTCATTTGGAGCATAAGCTTCGTAGAAGGAACAGTAGAGACATCTTTTTTGTGTTTTGCTATGGAAGACTCTAAACCAAGGACAAGATCAGACAAAACTGCATCCACATGAATTGGGGAATGATCAGTCACAGCATTTTCTTGAGCGGCACTGACAAACTGCTGTAGAAGTGGTTAGAGAGGTTATTACCCCCTCATACTCCTGAGGAAGGGTCTAGATGAACCTGGTCAGAACGTCAAACTCAGACTTTCCGAACCTGCCTCCCTCAGCTCCCGCACTAAAGAGTCAAATTTTGTCACATAATCGTTAAACGAAATCTCTTGAGGTCGGTATTTTAGCAGATGGTACTTCTTGGACAGAAGCAAGTGAGTCCTCGCACTGACTCGCTTGTATCTCTCCTGAAGGGCGTCCCAAATTGCCTTAGCTTCATCCAGCCCTTTTACCAGCTCGAATGCGCTTTTCCCCATTCTCATAGTCAGTTCACCGGCACACATCCCCTCCTTCCTTCGCAAGTCTTTAATCTCTTCCTCCTGTGGGGCTCGGCCTCGTTCAAGACGGTGGCTTCCCTCCGCAGGGCCTCGCTCTTCTTCAGCTCGTCGAAGAGCTTGCACTTGCTCACCCCGTACAGCCGAGACACGGTGTCGCAGCCAGTCAGGGCGTGAGCCAGGGGCAGGCACGGCACCATCTCAAGGCCCAGGAACTCGCGGATCGCGGCAATATCGTGGCGCTTGCGCTTGCCATCTTGGCCAGGGCTCTCTACGTACAAATTGGAGGCGCTCTCCGCCCTCGCGACCAAGATGACAAGGATGTCAGTGTCCTTCGCGATGACAGTGACACGGCGCGCTGGCGACGGCAAACAGTCCATGGCGGCCTTCGCCACGTCCACGTCTGCGTCGGCCCTGGACTGGATTACCGCAACCCCGCCCTGCTGTAAATGCCCTTTTAACAGTTTCAGAAACTTGGCTTTGTTGGCCTTGTTCCCTAGAAAATATCTCTGATCGAATTCGACGAGGGTGTCCTCGTCGAATTCGATCTCAGGGCAGAGTTTTGGGCTGCTCGCCATTTCCCGCCGCCGGTGCTCCTCGGCCTTGGTACTCCAGCCGTCGAACACTACAATTATCCGGACTGCCGTGCCGAAGTGTGACCTGACGTACTTCAGAATCACCTCGAAAACATCCCAAAAAGTCACTCTGCGGCGCGGCGACTCGGGGCGCGGCCAGACCACGATATGCATCAAGTGGCCACCGTCTACAACAACTACTAACTCTTTGGGGTGCTGCTGGCTGCCAGGGGCAGCGCCGGCCGGGGAGGGGCCTGCCGGGGAGGGGCCGGCCGGGGCGGGCACATCACCGGGGGAAGTCCCAGCGCTGTCCGCAACGGCTTCCACGTCATCGACGTCTTCGTGGGCGTCGCTGACGGCGTCCTCGGCCGCGGCGGGGAGGTCTGATCCTGGGCACAACCTTAAAACCAACTCGTACCTGGCCGCTGAGCGCATGAGCCCGTGCTTGTCGAAAAGGGCTGGAGGCATGACGGCGTGCTCATACGCCATGTACTCCCTCAGCTTGCCCTGCTGCTTGCCGGGCTCCACTGTCAAGGCGCACCTCAGGGCCATACGGAGGTACTCGGCGCTGTTTAGCTGTTAAGCAAACAGCAGAGCGTTTTAAATCTAAACCGATACAGCCGCTGCGAGGAAATGATTACATGTGTTTTCGTGACACTCACCTCAGCGGCCGGCTTCTTCCTGAGGGCAGGCTGGTTCTCCGCTAGGGTGATAATGCGGTCCTTGCGGCTGGTGGAAAGTGCGGCGAAGTTCTCGCCGGCCATCTTGTCCAGGGCAGCCCGGCCCAGGCGCTTCGCGTCGTCACAGTTCACTCGACTACTGCCCGGGACTCCAGTTGAGATGTTGCGCATTCCGGGAAGCACGTCGAACGGGTTGTGCTTGTGCAGGTACTCCGTCAGCTTGTCGAGGTGCTCGGCGTCCGTGCTTATACGTGCGTCGCGCAGCTCCACGTGGAGGATGTCTTGTAGACGCCGAGAAAGTTCACTACAAACCTGTCTACCAAGTACACACTTACAAATGCGTGCTTGCAAGTACACACTTACAAACGCATGCTTGGCCAAGTACACACTTACAAATGCTTGCTTGCAAGTACACACTTACAAACGCATGCTTGACGCGTGGAGTTATACGGCGTCAAGCATGCGTTTGTAAGTGTGTACTTGCAAGCACGCATTTGTAAGCGTGTACTTAGTAGACAGTTAGGTTTGCAGTGTTCTCCACCTCGACCAGGACGTCGTGGACGGCGGCCCCGCCGGCCCACCACTGTGACAGCACACTGTCGTTGAGGCCGCGGTGGACGGCGCCGCCCCGCGACTCGAGCGGCCGCATGATATCTTGCTCGATGATGAGGTCTGGCGACATCCCCGACCACGGGTGCTCGGACCGCCACACCGAGAACAGGCCGTCCTGCGCGGCCTGCAGCAGGGTGCCCGTCAGGCCCTCCATGGCCTGCACGTAGTGCCGCGTCCATTTGGTGTAGAGGTGGTGACCCGTCGCCACGAAGATTGGCTCCATGGCGCGGACGCTGGCCAGTCGCCAAGGCGCTCCGCGCGCAGAAAATTCTTCATGACGGTCACGATCTCGATGTAGTCGCACCAAAGGGCAGTTGGCACTGGCACGGTCCAATACATAGCTATTTCAAAAAAGCCAAATGTGAAAATGGGAACAACTTGCAATGCGATTAGCATTGGAATTTTTTTTTATTTTTTTTTAAATTGTGACAGTGCAGGTGCAATTAATTTAAGACCTTAACAGACTCTCCTTTCGTTTGCTGTACCGTTTAATGAATGCCATTGGTAGATCTCAATTTTATATATATTTTAATTGCTGGTTCCTGTGTTTCTTGTCAAGGACAGGAAAGATAATTAAAAAGTTGTATTTCTATTTGTATTTATCTTAAAGAATATTTATTTTTTAGAATATTTTCATTGTCAGCAGTTGAAGGCTTTAGACATATCGTCATCGATGATGTTGTTTACCGTCTGCCTTCATTCCAAGCCACAACTTCCTGAATGCTGTCTGATTGGCATGCTGCCTTGATGATTTTCAAGGACTCCTCTATATCCTGTTTGCACACAGGTCTAAGCAGTAAAGAAATTTTAAATTGTCAGGAATGCACCTTTTTTTAAATAATTGAAATGTTTACAATTGTCTGGTTCCCATGTTTCATTTCTGCTCCTTCCCCTTTGGGTTTTGCGTCCTACATCAGTCTCTAGATCCTACAACAAGATGAAAATGCAAAAACTCGATGAAAATGCCTATTAAGGGAGACTTCTATTCGACACAAGCTGTTTCGAGGCTGCGATCAATAGAAATTTGTTATTATTTTCATTATTTTTCATTATTGTTGTGAATTATTCAAATCAACACACTCGTGCAAATCTTGTCAGAATGTCAGAAACGTGTCTGAAAACCTGATCAAAATTCGCGCACTTCTGAAATCTGAAAACTTACTCTGACATTCTGCAGAACTCAGGCCATCAATATCAGCATAAGTTTTCAGAATTTCAGCTTTCAGAGGTGCGCGAATTTTGATCAGGATTTCAGACATGATCAGTATTACAGACAGCAAATTACTACTTAGGCCGGCACAGTGTTTGACTTTAATTTCTGAGAGACCATTATTATTTTCAGAATTCAAGTGCAGAACCCCAGCCCCTTCTGTGTACAGAATCTCATTACCGTTACTTTCAATTGATTCTCTGGGTGTTGACCTGTAATTTTGAACATAAGATGGATCACTCACAAGGTTATCAAAAGCACCACTATCCAAATAAAATTCCATATCTTTTGTATTTTCATCACTGACTTTCAACACTCTTGAAGTTGAAGGCACTCCAGCCAACTCACAAACTGGCCCCCTTTTGGCTATGGCCACCTTCCACTTTATTGGCCCCTTTGGCCCACTTTGAGATTGTCCGTGAGTGATATTCCCATCTCCACTTTCAGGATTTTTGGGCTTGCAATTGCAGTCATCTTCCGGGTGGTTCCTCTTCTTACAGTAACAACACCCAGGGAAAGGTCCATCGAACTGTTGTTGACGTTGGCTCCTCGATTTACATTGGATGGGAATATTTGATACGTTTCTTTTCTTGGAACCTGTTGACAAGGCAAGTGTAGCAGTCTTGCCGAAGTTGTGAAAGGCTGATATCAGTCCTGACTGTGATTTCATGAGGAGATGGTTTTGCTTGATGAAAGCACTGAAACCTGCATGATAAGCTGCAGGGTCAGCTTTTAGCATTCCAGCATAGCTCTCAAAAATCACTTTCAGCTCATCCAGCGTACTTTGAAGTGTCTCAGGAGGGATGGATTAGGAAGTGTCTAGGGTATCGAAGTCACTCTGATATTCCTATATATTTAAAAATAGGTCAAGAAAACTTGTGCCAAAATGACATGCCACTGCTAACTTATTATTTACCTGTGCCGGTGATACTTCTTCAGAGAGAACTTCAGAAGATACTTGTTCTCTAACCGAGTTGACTCCCTCCTGCTAGAGAAAAAAAATAATATTTTAGTACATTTGTTTATAGGTTTATATAATTATTTAGAGTTTGGTTGTATACAAAATAGTTTGTACCTGAGTATTGAGTTTCTCAGTATCGTCAAAGAGTCCAGCAAACCAAGCAGAAAGCATATTAGAATGCCCATGAGCGATCTCAAAGAGCACTTTCTTGTGCGTCTCATTGCATTGAAGTAGAGGGTGGATATGGGAGCTGGAGAGGTTGAATGTTTGAACAACCTTGCATAAATGCTTGCATGAAGTACCAGACTGTCCTGCAGGACATGAACAAATTTCCTAGTCCATCACAACAATGTGTTCGGTCTTCTTTCTTCTGTTCACTACTTTTTAGGTATTGGGAGTACTTGGGACACACATACATTCCAAGCCTACCAGCTTCTCAGGACGAATGAAATACCTAGACTTGAATGGATCTGAGGATCTGTTGTTGACTACATCAATGATCCTATTAATTAGATATGTGTTATAGCGGGTAAGAAGAAAGTCTAGAAGTTGCACCGGGTTGAATGCTTTCAGACGACTAAGCATTTAGTCTTTGAGAATTTTCATATTGGCCTCACTGTAGTTATTAGTGTTGTTACCTCTGGTAAGCAAATCACGTCTTGCAAAAAGAGCCCACTCATTCATTCGGGGCATTAGCTTTAACAAATGGCACTTCACTCTGGAGGCCTTATTGATGCATTCGTTTTCCATAGCGTCTTTCCATCTATCATTGAACTCCTCTTCACTTCAGGCATATACAAGGTCTTTAAACAAAAAAAACAGTTCACTACTGTTTTCCTTGGGAACATCAGATTCCCGCTCGGGCCAGTCCGCCCCTGGTCGTGAGGGTTCTGCAACCCAGCTGCACTCTTTCCTATAACTTGCAGCACAGCCTCGTTGACCTTTGTCGGCAGGGTGGCCGGATTTACGGAACCACCTCCTACAAATACATTAATTCTAACAAATTTGGCCAAAACAGTAAACGCTTTCACAACCTTCAAGCACCAAACATATTGTGGCCGTACATACCTGTGCCATACAGGCCCTGCCGCTCGTTACCCAGGGCCTTCCGCGCCTGGGCCTTCATATTGTCCCAGAGGGACTTCAGGTTTTTGACAGTTCTTGGAATGTACGCCGTATTTGAGTTAAATTTGACTTCTTACCTGCAGATCTGCATCGTAATAGAACAGCATATTTCCAGCACATTAGGTTCGGCTTTCTCACCCTCATCCACTGCCACCTCCTGAGAGGGTAGCGATGGAATGTTAGAGGTAGACGCTCCCTGGGCACAAGCCGGCCTCAGGAACTGCAAATCCTTCCAAAAATGCCATTTGGGCACATATACTTCATCGGTGCCCTTTCCACTTGTTGTTGTCTCCCGCACCTTTCTCAAATTAGCTATGAAGGTATCTTTCAGCCCTTTGAAGCTAAGAGACAATTCTGAAACAATGAATGAAGGAATTTGTGTCAGCACTGCTTCATAGATGTACTGCCAGGGTTAGGTCCTTAAGGACTCATATTAAGGTCTCATTGAACCGTCATGAAAAAAGTGTGGTGTAATTGAATTAAGTGTAGAACTTACCATGAGCCGTATATTTCCTTCCGAAGGCGTCCGACACGTCCTCCCAGGCTCTCGTTTTCAAATCTGTTCTTCTATAGAGAAGCTCCAGACAAGAAAACCACTTGGTCGGCGGCATCCTAGGAGCGGGCGCTTGTGGTGTTTTATCGGTTCCTTGTATGTATACGAACTGCCGAAAAGACTGCTCCTGTTCCATCCACTGTTCTAAGACATTGAAGTTGACTGGTTTCGACCCTGAAGTACCAGCCTCCCTCTTCTTAGCTGTCCTCTTCTTGTTCACGGCAAAATACTTATTTCTGCACTGCGTGGGCGTAAACCCTCCTGGTACCTCCTCAGAAACTTGTTTCCAGAAAGTAGCGTTGGTCGCCTGGCTCTGGTTTGCTGCCTTCTTGCGGATAACATTTGTGATGAGGACTTTCGCCTGCTCGTCAGACCAGTGGGCAACTTCTTCACTCTTAACAATTGGTGTGGGACAATTGGGCTGAACAGGAGCAGCAGGATTGATGATAGGATTGGACGGAGGGGTAGGGACAGGAGGGGTAGCAACAGGAGGGATGGGAACAGGAGGGACTCCAGACAGTATTTTCAGTTTACCTTCCTTAATCATGGTTTGAATCTGTTCGGGAGTAAGTTTGACCTGTAAAAAAAAAGGATAAAATTAGGGTACAACACACATAACAGGATAGTTTCCTAACACACTTGATGAACCTATACATAGGTTCAATTGATAGATTTCAGTACTTTAATGGCCATGAATTTCTATTACTTGTGTTAAACGTCCGTTCATTGCGTCTCAGAGACAATATTAACAACAATAAACAGAAAAAAATAAAATAAATCTCTCCAATCTCAACTCTCAACAATCTCCACTCGCAAGTTAACTTGTCCAGACTTGTCTGTCCAAAACGGCATTCCCCCTCACAGCCTTCTCCTGGCACCACATCTCGCTACTTCTTCCTCATTTCTTGAGCAAACCACGCCAGACCCACGCCCTCTGGCGTGGTCCTCGATAGTCGACTATGAGCAAAGAAACGCGCGCAGCAGCTCGCACTCGCGCGTTTGTTCGCCAGTGTGATACAGCCTTAAAGTTGTGCAGGCGTCCAGGACTGCAGCTGTAAGAATAGACACAAAACACATCAATTTAACTGCCTCTGATAGAATAACAGGAGGTTACGGGCAGCGTACCTTGTAGAACCCCGTGGAGAGTAGGGTACGCCTTGGCGAACCCTATCTTCCCACTGGGTGCTATGCAGTCCGGGGCGCGCACCCTTTGCCCGCACAAGTTCATATGTAGAAGGCGCAGTGCCCACTCATGAACTTGCCCCACACCACCTTCGGCAAAAGTCCTAACTCCGCCCCGACCGCGACGCCACCGCCGTCACCATCGACCGCCGCAGCGCGGTGCGCAGCTCCTGCGGTCCGGCGGTCGCTGCCCTCTCCGCCAACATGAGGGCGTCCGGATCCGCCGCAGGCAGCCCAAGTGCCTGCGAAGGGTCCGCCTCCGCGCTCATCTGCCGGACGGTGGTGTTGATCTCCTGGACCGCCCTGCCGAGGTTGCCGAGCCTCTTGTTGATGCGCTTCAGCGCTTGGCAAATCTGCTGCAGCGACACTGAAACACGCGAATGAAATGAGATTAGTGTGCTGTGAAACTGACGTGGTCACACCGACGTGCTGTGCGCCCAATGAAACTTATACACGTCCAACGGGTGCATCTCCTCGACTAGGATTGGCTGCACTTGTCGTTCCTGATTCTCGACAGCTAAGGGCTGTGGTAGGTCATGCAGCTGCATGGTGCGCTGTTCCAGGAGCTGCTGTCGCTGCTGCTCAAGGTGCTCCTGTTGCTCGAGTAGGACTGGATGCACTTGTCGTTCCTGATTGTCGTCGATCCCTCCAGACAAATCTTTTAAGAAAGCTGACTAAGGAGCGGGCATACTGATAGTAAGCTTGATTTGAAAGTGTAAGCCCACCCCTATTTTGACTCATAGTGAAGTCTGAAACAGCACTGGCCACTGCATCAGAACCATTAGTAAATAGGGCAGGGTCTAAGCGGGGCTCCACAGAGCGCCGCCTTTTATCCCCCTTCACTATGCTACCTGCAGCATAGTACAGGGACTTTTCCTCTGAATTAGCTAAAGTGCCAATTAAACTGGGATTACTAGGAATTGATGAGCGGACTTCTTCTGACAGTTTAGAAATCATGGCTGAAACCATACTATTGGTAATATTATGCATGCAGTTTAAACTGTGCCGCAATCGGGTCCCCGTCACCGGCATCGTCCTCAAAATAATCAATCATATTCAAATAAAATTAATACAAGAAACAACTAAGCAAACACTCTTACAAGTTTTTAAGGTTGGAATCTTTTGCCAGTGTCCATTCCACGAGTTACAACAATTTGGGCAATGCCAGGTCCACTTTTGAACTCTTTGGACTGGCACTGGCCACCACTGATTTGACGTAATACTTCACTCTTGGCTGCTGCAGCAGCAGCCACCTTCTCCCACACTTTTTTGTGGGAGCTCTTCCCTGACGTAAAGTCATCAAGGAACTCCTCACAGGTAGAGAGCAGAAGGACACACTCAGATGGCCAAATAAACGATGTGCTTGGGGATTCATCATGGTCTGCAAAAGTCAGAGGAGATTACGTAGACATGGTTGTGATGCAGGAATCGTGCATTCAACACATGACCTCAGTAATACAAAAGAAATTCATATCGTTCACTTCCTCTCCTTGTCTCTTTGAAACATTTCGATCAAGAACGCTTCATCCGACAAGAGGAAAAGCATATTTAGCATGTGTTTTGAATTCGAGACGCTGATACTCGTAGTTTAAATAGAAAACAACATTTTCACAGCCAGTAGAAATTACTTCATACATTAACTTGCGGAATTCAAGAGGATCACTAAGGGGCACATATGAACAATTTTCGTCGGTGATGGTCTGGTAAGCCAGCCAGCAGACATGGGCTCCACAGTTGATTGAGTCGGTTTGTGGCGGTAGATTAACAGTTTCAATTTTCCATCCAGACAAATGGGGTTTCACTGTTTTTAAAATGGAAAGTAAACTGCTAATGAAAATATGAGATTTGCCCTTCAGTGGCTGTTGGAGAGGATCATAGAATTAAATGACATTACTTTGAATTATAGCTAGGCACCAGTGAACACGATTAAAATTAACGGGACAAATTAAAATTTCTTTTTTCAGAGGTTACTTTTTCCATTAGTCTGGATACTTTATTGCCCTTCAGAATGGACAGGGAAGGAAGGGGCTGTCAGGCACTTATCATCCTCTTTACCTTCATCTTCTGGATTTTCCTGAAGTCCTGCGCTGGAAGGATTTTGGGAGGTCTCTTCTGCGTTGGGGGAAGAGTCCTGTAGGTTTTTGGGGCACGCCTTAGCAGTGTCCTTTAAAACATCATACACTTCATCATAGTAGTCTGTTTTTTTAATTGACTACCTCCAGAGTTCTTTAGCCCAGCAGCAGCTACAACTTTCAGCGTCTCCGACTCCATATTTTTCCACTTTTGCTGGCAGACTTTCCAGTCTTCACTGTCCCCGAAAGAGTAGCCGAGTTTCCCAATTTCTGATTCAATTTCGACGTAAACTGCCTTCTTCGTCGTTCTCTTGTCCTTTAGTTTGTCCTGGACCTTTTCGGACTTAATGAGGCCAATCAGAGCATCCCGAGCTTGAAGATCCAGGCTGCTCGGTATTTTTTACCCAGATCTCTGAACAAGAGGACGTTGAGGTGGAAGCACCTGCTTGCATTCCACTTGCTCTGAACTTGAAGGTGAAACCGCAGTCTCTGCAGTGGGCTTAACTACGGCTGGCTGCTCACATAGCAGGGCCAGAGTAGCACTAGAACTTTCTTTGAACATAGTTTCGGCTGAAAGACATCCATAGAATTACGATGAAAGAGCTTTGAGGATGTAAACAAGGGAACCTTACCCTTGATCAACTTACTGATAATATCATAGACCTCGAAGCCGTCATCGTCACGTACCTGTTTAACCAAACCAAGGTTTAACTTTAAGAAGTCCATAAGCTTGACTTGGAAGCTGGAGAAGGCACCTGTGTCGTGCTTTTCTGTGTAGTCCGATATGATGACATATGAAAGCTTGACTATATCACCTCCTTTTTTTGCGTAGCACATGAAGGGATGAATAGTTGCTTGCTTATTACTGAAGTAATGACTTTGCGCACTCTCTTGGATTACATTAGACGTGCCCCTATCCCGCGTAATTATTATGTACACACAGCGTGTCAATAGTAACAAGCCGCAGTGGGGACACGCGGCGTGTATATAATATCGGTCATCAACTGATTGAAGAGCAAATGGACAAATTAAGGGACCACAGCTTATTCTACCTGTCTGCTTAGGTTTCTGAACAATTTTTATTTTCCACAATGAGCATGTGGGGAATATTTTCTTAAGGTCATCAACCATTTTAGGAAGAAGAGGAAGACAGATGGTAGTTAGAGGTGCCTGCATGGGATCATAGAATCTTATCTCACACTCTTTGATGAACACAGCAACAATGCACAAGTG